GCAGGTCACTCCAATCCGACCCGCCAATTTGCAGGTCACTTGGATCCGACCTTCCAAATCGCGGGTCACCTGGATCCGACCCTCCAACCCGCGGGTCACTCAAATCTGACCAGCGCCAGGGTCGAGACATAAGACGTTCTGTACCGGTTACGTCGATCCCTTCGAGTCCCGCACCTCCGACGGAGCACTGTGACAGTGTGGATTTGTCCCGATTCAAGGTGAAGACAGTCGATCGCCTGGGTCCTTTGCAAGAGGATCGAGGCAAAGTTCTGAGCAAAGAACGTTTGGGTCCGGTGACTGAACCCCGAGCAACTCGTCGAGCTGGGGGTCGCACACGCCCTCTCAACAATAACAAGCCTTCTTATAAAAGGAAAACTCCAGTTTCCACCCGTTTGGGGGTGTGTATTCAAAACCAGGAGCCCGTTGAGATCTTGCGCTCCCAAAAGTGTAGTTCTAAACATGTGACTCTTGAGAACGCTGATAAAGCGGCAAATCCCCTGAAAGAAACATATTCATCTGACGATGACAACGTTATACTTGGGGAGTTGTGTCAACGTACGATAGGTTGCTCCGGTCATCTGACCGATGAGTTATACTATCGGGCTGACGATGACAACGTTATACCAGGGGAGTCATGTCAACAAACGATAGGTTGCTCCGGTCATCTGATCGATGAGTTGTACTATCGGGCTGGGGGTATGAACGAGTCTCGGAAGAGATATGCCCGAGAAACCAAATCTCACTACCCGTGCGCCGAACTTATCAGGGCAGTATTATTAGCGTGTAGCTACCCCAAGACCGCTCTGTAGAGGGTCTCAGTATTTGAGAGGATCTCCAACGGAAAGGATAAGTCAAACCAAAGCGTCTCCGTAAAAAAGAGATCGGTTGTTCAAGGTGACGAACTCCCGGAAGTCACAATAAATATGGCTGATAAGGGAAAGTCGATTCGACCTTCTAGCTCTGACCCGCTTATATCTCATCGTCTAACCCGGTTGCGATCAGGGACCACTAGACGCAGGGACTACCAAAGAATGCAGAGAGGGTTATCCTCGGACGATGAAGCATCGGATGCTAACTCTGCAGTCGCTTCTGACAATACGGTATCTAGCCCAGGGCAATCCCGCGAAGTGTTTATGATTAACACCAAAGAAGCAACTAAAATGATTGAGGATGCTCTAGCGAAGCAGAAGCAAGCATTTAAATTCGAAATAGAAATGGCTATGCAGTGGATGAAGGAAGAGGACGACCGACAGATTCGGGCTCTTTCCAATCAAATGGGCGAATCCAGCCGTCGCAACGCTACTAACCAAGTAGGTAGCGATTCAGATGTGGATGAACGCCTCAATGTTGATAACCCTCTCGTTGACCAAATCCTCTTTCGAATCGTCCGAGGCCCGACACGAGTGAGGATGAGAAAATGAAAGATCTCGAGAGCAAAATCAACGCTCTAATGTCTGCTCGAGAGGTGAAAAGGACCGGCATTCCATGTCCCTATCCAAGAGAATGGGATTCGATCCCGTATCCGGCGAAGTTCAACCTGATTAACTTCACGCCGTTTGACGGGAAGGGTTCACCCACTCAACATCTGATCTACTTCAAGTCCCACTTGGGTATGATCTCCGGCAATGAAGCCTTAATGATTCGGTCATTCGTTGGCACCCTTTGCGGACCGGCCTTCGATTGGTACCACTGTCTTAAGCCTGGAAGTATTAACAACTGGGACGATATGGAGAACTCATTCCTTGGTAACTTCTTTGATGACGACGACGAGGTATCCATCAGGACACTTTTTGATGAGAAACAAGAAGATGATGATCGATGAGAAACAAGAAGATGACGAGACAGTCGACGACTTCGTCAAGCGCTTTCGGAATAAAGCAATGAACTGCCGAGATCCGATCACGGAGGACTTCATCCTCCAGACATGTCATAACAACCTATCTATTGAGATATTAGAAGTTATGGGAGTCGCACCGTCCAACACTTGGAAAGAGTTGAAGACGCGCAGAGAGCGGGCCGAACGCTTCCTCCGAAGAAAGAAAACCGAGAGGAGCCAACCGACGGCGAATCTTCCGAACTCAAACTTTGCCTCCCATGGTAAAGGAAAGGCACATGCAGCGGTTGTAGACGTTAATCAAACATCGCAACAACCCCGAAGGCAGCAAAAGACTTCGGATCCGAGACTCCAAAAAGAGTACTCCTTCAAGGACGAAGATGTTCCGATCAAGGACGAAGATGTTCCGGCTATTTTTGAGTCTCTCCTTGAAAACAACAAGATCAAGCTGCCACTTGTCGTAAATCAGGAGGAAGCTGATAACATTTTGGATCCAAAATATTGTGCATACCACAGGAGGATCCTTCATCCCACCAAGGCTTGCTTCGCTCTCAAGAATAGTATCCAAACCTTGGTTGAAGTCGGCGTTATATCGCTCAGTTAAGTCGCCACACTCCGACAAGTATAAGAGTATAAACTGCTTCTTAACACTCCGACAAGTATAAGAGTATAAACTGCTTCTTAACACTCCGATAAGTATAAGAGTATAAACTGCTTCTTAACACTCCGATAAGTACACGAGTATAAACTACTTCTCAACACTCCGATAAGTATAAGAGTATAAACTGCTTCTTAATCCACCAATCGGTATATGAGGTTAAACTGCTCCCTGATACTCCAATAGGTATATGAGTCTAAACTATTTCTTA